TCATTTTTCTCTTGCCACTTTCTAAATTTTCTCTCTGTTTTTCTTTATTTCAGCATTTTAATCATGATGAGCTACACGTGGATCTCTTCATATTTATCCTATTTGGGGTAAATTGAGTTTCTTAGGTGTTAAAATTAATTTTTTCCATCCAATTTAAGCATCTTAGGCCATTGTTTCTTCAAATAATTTTTGTATTCCTTTTTATCTCACCTCTATTTCTGGTATTCCCATTAGGCATATGTTGGCTTGCTTGCTGCTGTCTCAAAAAGTGTATAATTTTGTTCATTTTTCTTCTCTATTGTTTGTCTCTGTATTTCCATTGTTCATTTTTATTAAGCTTTCTTCAAGTTTGGTAATTCTTTTTTGTAAGGATTCACATATCTGCTTTTGAGCCTGTCTATGTAACTTTTCATTTCAGTTATTGTGCCCTTCAACTCCAGAATTTTCATTGGGTCTTTTAAAAAATTATTTGAGTCTTTTCATTGAAAGTTTTTATTGGCATATTCATTGTTATTATAGTTTCTTGTGAACCCTCAAACATGATTTTTTTTGGTATCCTGAATACATTTTTAATAGTTGCTTCAAGTCTTTGTCTGCCAAACCTAACGTCTGTACACAGCTAAAGACAAATTCCACTAATTTTTTCCTTGAGTATGGGTTGTATATTGTTGTTACTTTGAAAATTTTATAACTATTGATGAAAACTTTTTTTTAATCTCACTAACCTGGATTATAAAAACTGAACATTTTGATTATAAAAACTGAATGTTTTAGGTAATAAGTGCTCAGGTTTACAATTTTTTCTTTAAATATCGTTTTCGTTGCTTTTTTATTCTTTTTTTTTTTTTTTGCTTCTGTGGCTGAATTAAGTCTTTGAAATCTTCCTCTCTCATAATTACAACTGCTGATGTCCTGCTAAGAAAATTATGATAGTTTTTATCGTAGTTATTTTTTAAGCCTGGCTTCCTATGTTTTTCCCCTGTATTTTTGTAGCTTAGTGGTCAGCTAAGGATTTAACACAATTTGTGTTCAAATACTTCAAGTTAACAACGCTTTCATCCTCTCAGATAGACCTTCGTGTATAGGGGAGGGCATGCAAAGTTCAGGCCACTTTTACATCTACCCCAACATTTGCTTCTCACTGGGACATTTTGTGTTTATTAAGTGGATATGCACAACTTTATAGTCAGTTAGGAGTTTGCGAATCTCTTGAGCCTCTTTGGGCTCTTTCAACCATGTGTGAAGACTGAGCCAGGAATACCCTTGCTTCTATTATTACTGCAATCTCAGGCCATTTTCCTTACCCTTGGTGAAGATTATCACTTACACTGAAAACACCTCTGGGTACGGCTTTTGCTCATCACTCCAAATTAGGTTAGCCTTCTTCAACAACCGCAATGCCTTTGCTGACATCTGTGCCCTTCCCTGTATAGAACCTCCATGCCAACCAAGTCAGGGGGTGAAATGGGAATATCCCTGAGCAAGAACATCACAGACCTCTCTTTTTACTCCTAAAGTCAGCAGTTTTTCAAGATAAATGATTCTCAGATTGGTATAGACTACTGATCAATTTTCAGATTGCTAAAATGTTTTTCTTTTTTTGGTCAATTATGTCTAGCTTTATAGTTGCTTTCTGAGGAGAGGATCTGCTGACCATCTCATTTAGTCATACTCTAAAGTGTTACACCTTAGGATAATTTTATGTAAATTCCCAAACCAGATAAGAATAATTTACAAGAGAAAAGTGGAGATTTACTTTACTTAAGAATATAATTGCAAATTTTCTAAATAAGATGTTAGTATCCAAATTCAGAAATTTATTTTAAATATATTATAAAGTATGATTTACTCCAGGAAAACAATAATAGTTTAACATTAAGAAATATATTCAGATATTTATGTCAATAGACTAAAAATCAAATTATTTTAATAGTTGCAAAAAAAGACTTTTAATAATAAGCAACACATATTCAGCAAACTAAAAATAGAAAGGAATTTTCCAAACTTGCTAAAGTGTATAGGTAAAAACCACTGTGATAAATATTACACTCAATAGAGAAACTTTAGAGATATTCCCTTTAATATGAAAAGACAAGGAGATTATTTGATGTTCATTAGTATCACTAGTATTTAACTATTGAAGTCTGGATCCTTTACCAATTATATAAGAAAAGAAAGAAAGATGTGCTAAGATTGAAAGGAATATTATAAAACTCTCATTATATGTAGATAATATGATCAACTACCAAGAACAAAGACAAAAGTTGTCTGACATAAGATTAACCTGAAGAAATCAATAGAATTTGTCCATATCAACAATAAACAGATAAAATATAATAAAAGGCAAAATATATTCAAAATAGTAATAAATTTACACATTTTTAAAACATTAACAAAAATTATAAAAATCTCTGAATATTTTACAAATTTTATAAAGTAGATCAAAATTATATGAATTATTCATAAACTATTCTACTCTCATGAGTTGAGAAAATTAATACTGTAAAAAGTCAATTTTACCCAAATTAATTTACAAATTCTTTGTATCTCTAAACACATTGGGTTACCAAATTTGAGATGAAGTTTTTATAAACTCAGTTATTTTTATCTCTAACACGTCATGTATGTGGGAACCATATATCTATGCATAGGTCCATCAGCTTTTAACAACATGAACTAAGAAGGGGGACTTACCATACTAGTTATTAAAGCAATAAATGAATCTGAAAAAAAGGGACCTCAGAAACACACACATACACTCAGGTGAACTTAATATTCTATAAAGTTGGTAACCGAAATCATGAGAAACATTGAATGAATGAATTCATCAATTAAAAACAAGTCTTTGCATGTACCCAAACACCAGAGATCAGAAATTATGGATGACTGGATTGAGATGGTAGGGATGGAAATGGAGAAAAGGAGTTAGACTTTGGAGGCAGTACCAATAATACTTGTTAATGGAGGGAATACTAGAGTCGGGAAATTAAAGGGTGACATACTAGTGAAAAGAAAATTAATGATGAAAGAGAGAGTGACAGGATGTCTGTAGGAGGAAACTCCTTGAAATGCAGTGCACCTTATTCTGAGAGTAAGTAGCAGGGTTGATTTTTGATGGGAAGAATCTAAGCAGAAAAAACGAGCACATTGTTCTGTTTTATAGTAGAGAGAAAAACAACAACAAGAAAAAACACATGGTATAATTGGATGAATCCTTTTAAATACAGAGACAAGGAAAAATTTAGACAGAACTTATTTGAAAGGCACACAGTCAAATGTTAACTGCCTTAACTTAATGTAAGTTACTACTTAGTTATGTAAGTAGTTTCCTAAGTAGTGAACCACATTGCTATAAAAGTTTTATCTAGAGAGTTTTTTTTTTTTTTTTTTTTTACAGTTTTTGTATGTGTGTGTGTGTGTGTCACTCAGGCATAATATATTAACAATGAGTAATTTTATTTCTTAAGACTGCAATTTTATTTTTTTTAAACTCCTACTTGATTAAAATTCAATATTTTTGTGTCTACATATGGAAACAGCTAACTAGCTATATTTTTTAGATAGGTTTGTTAAAATCGGTATGTTTGTGTGTATTTTGCTTTTTTTGTCATTTCCTCATATTTTATATTTTTAAACACCATAGATATATCATTTTTTAATAATGAAGACGGAGGAGGAAGAGGACAGTGGATGTTAGAAAGTGAGCCACTCTTTGAATGTGGCAAATAAGACACATATACAGTTGCCACTTCAGATTTTGTAGAATATAAAAGTAGCTCTCTTTTGCTACAGATAAAGAGTTTCCAATTATTGATCAATTTTGTGGTGTCTGTTACTGTTTTGAAAGTGAGACTGGTTGAGCCCAGGCAAATAATTTAGTAGACTATGTTTACTATGGAGGCTGAGGTTCTCAGGCGTTCTTGGCTAACATTGCCAAGAAAGATGTCAGCGTTGTTAGACCATGGATGTTGTAAGTAATTAAGGTGCACTAACCTTGACTGATTATTTTAATTATGTGTTGAGACCAGCAGAGAAGGAAAAGAAAGAGGAAATTAGTGAAGAAATTGCATAGGAGACCTGGGGCGATGTGAGTGGTGGTTAGACTAGCTGGTGGTAGTCCCAGCTTTGTCAATAATCCATTTGTGAGATATTGTAGGCTAGATATATATTTCCACCAATCTGAGCCCCAACGTTTTATTTTTTTAATTTTATTTTTATAATTTTGTATAGATTTTTTAAATGTTTATAAATGAAAAAAATTATAAAGTGAAATGGTTTATACAGTAGGATAAATTTGCAGTTTCTTTCCTTCCTTCTACGTTACTTCTTAATGTTTTATGATCCTTTTTTTTTTTTACCGGAGAACACTTTTCTTAAACAAAATATTAGCCTGACTCCCTGTCTGCAAAATAGATATAAACAACCAACTCTAGTTGAATTAGAAGGACCCTCCAGGTACTGGAACATATACAGTAAAAAGCAAAAGAGCAAAAGAAAAAGGAAATAGAATGAGTCAAATGCCTGCTAGAACATGTTAAACCCTGAGATTGGCTTTTAGAACTTAGTTTCCATTTGGTCTAAAACTCATTTTATAGATGAAAACATTGAGATCCAAAGATACATAAATTTTCCACGTTACATAGGCAATAAGAAGTCTGATTTGAACTTAGTTCTACAGTCCCAGGAAAGCTCTTCTTTGCGCTAAGACAGGACAAGAGGAATGAGAAATGATGGCCGTGGAAGGCAGACATCACACTGGCTGACTCCACCTCTTAGTTTCTGTCAGTGCCTAAAATGTTTTTAGAGTTGGGTCATGGGTTGGGCCTATGGACAAGATGTACCAGATATTTAGCCCACCCCTGGACTAACCCATGTTCCCTCCCTTCTAAGTTGTTGGCTTCAAAACAGGTATGACCTGGTACTTAAGGAATAAACAGATAGCTCTAAATAGAGTCAAACATCCTCTCAAAAGTAAACAGGTTGGCTCCAAATAGTCTCACCTCTGTTGGGGCAGTAGCCTTGGTAGCTCTTGCTAAATGCTTGACCCTCTTCTGTGATTTTGCTTCTTTTTCCCTGGAAGAGGACAAGAAATAGCATAGTTTAAACATTGTTTGCTCAACTTATAGGAATAACAGCTAGCATGGTAAACTTAATTTTGACTGCCCTCCTCAGCCTAGCCTGGCATGTCAAAATGGGTAGCATGTTCAGAAATGGACGCAGTACCTCAGATCTCCATTCAACATTGAAAAGTATCTTGAACATGGTATCATTATAGGCAAGAATCTCTAACTTTAACTGCATAACAGACTACCTTCCTGGAATACTTCCAACAGCCAGGTGGTCATCAACTCTCAAAGCTATCTGCCCCATTCGTTGAATGTAGTTTTTGAAAGAGAATATTCACATTGAACCTGCTTATATTGGTTCTAATTCCAACATCTAGGGACCCACAGAGCAAATCAATTTTCTCTTCCTTAAGGCAGTTCTTTAGCAATCTGATGACAGCTTTTATGCCTTGCATAGCCTCCTTTTTTTCCAGGTTAAAAAAAAACAATTTTCTTCCAACATAATTTACCCAACTCATAAAAATAATAACTGAATGAGTAACTTCAAAATAATAAATTGTCTTCAGACTCTTAAGGCATTTCATTTTTGTTTTACATTATTTTTCAGTAGATTTATTATATTCACACTTTCAGTCTCATATTAAAATATCTTACGAAACAAGAAGAAAATGTTATAATAAATAATATAGCTGCTGGTTTACATTCAGCTTTCAAAAGAAGAAAGAATTATTCAACCAGCCCTAGGCCTCCCATCCTCTATTAAATCTTGTCCTGACTTCTTTGTAGTCTCACAATCTCTTCACTAGAAGCACTGCATGATCAAACGATCTGAGCTTCATTATCCCAATCTGATTGATTACGTCAAACCCCAAATTAAATTCTGTGACACACACCAACCTGACATTTAAAAAGCCAATTATAACATAATTATCCTAAGTGAGTAAGCTCAGTATTGGCTTGCTACCACTGTTGAAGTTTTGACAGTGGTCAGAAATTGAGGCTAACCTTCCTTTTCAAAAACAAATTAGGACATTCTGGTTTGAGGATTCGCAGTTGATAACACAAGCCTTCTTTTACCTTTGGGGTGACAATGGAGAGAAGGAAACCAAGTTAAGAAGCATTGGTTAGAGATTGCTAAACTACCAGGATGCTAATTATTTCTGAGCTGCAAGGAGTCGGAAACTATCATCTACCCTTTAGTTTATCTCTTCCTAGAATAATGCTAGGTGTCTAAAGACACTGGCAGCTCACAGAGTCAGGGTATACCTTGCTTAAATCCTTCTGCTGGTTGGTTGCCACAAGGAGAGTCTGGCATTATGCTTAAGCCAATCTTCTCAGTCCCTAGGCTGCAACAGAATCAGGTCTTAACAGGCCCAGGGAATCTGACTTTCTTTGTCAACTTCATTTTTTTCCAAAACCAGGAAGTTCAAAGTGGAACTACATCCTCAAAAGACTATAGAGTGCTACAGAAGGTATTGATACCGGGCCCTCTGGAATGCTTTCGGAATCTTGTTTGAGTGATTATTAAAATCTTTCCAGGTGGGTGGCAATTATCCAACTTTATTTGATGGAAGATGTCAGAGTGATCTGCTCAGCACTTTTATTTAACCATTTCGGTTTAGAAAAATGCACTTGAAAGAAAAGAAAAAGAATACATTTACCAGTTCAGAGACTAGCTGTTAACTCAAACATTGCAAAGAAAGAAAGAAACCTTTACTCACAGTATCATTTTGCATGTGGCACATTTATTGATGAACATTATTCCATCAAGACTTAGAAAAAATTTCTTATCCTGGGGACAGAACAGTTTTCCATTTTTCATAAATGCCTGAAATTCATGACATATTTCCTAAGATAATGCCAAAAAAAAGTTGTGTTAGCTGAAATTACATCAAAACAAAGCTTTGTTTTGACATATATGTAGATATATGTATATGTCTACATATATATACATGTAGATATATGTATATGTCTACATATATATGCACATAATTCAAAGCTTTTATGAAGATTAACTATAAGTATGTAAAGCCCTCAAAGAATGCCTGATACAAAGTAGGCATTCAATTAATAAATTATCCTCCTTCCTTCTTCCTCCTTTTTTATTATTATTGTTTTGATGTTGGTGGCGATTGTCATTATTATTACTGGAATATGCTAAGATGGTATATATAAAGTACCTAGTACACAGTGGGCCAACAGTAATTTCCGCGAAAGGAATATGAAAATGTTGCTGAAGGACCGAGGCAAGGTGTTTGAGCATTGAACACTATAAAATGTCTGCCTACATTTCCCCATGGGTGTACTGCAACATATCAGCTCCTAGAAATTTTAACAGTGTTAAATGAAAAAAGGATTTCTTGGTTCTATGTATTTGGAAAACAAATTTCTAGGCTGGTTTATTTTCTGAAAAGAACTTCATGTCCCTTGATCTATCATTTGACTATGAGCACAGGCAGACTGACCTTAAAGCTAATAAAGCTTAAGATTCAGGGCCCTTCACTGTCACATCCCCCTTCCGAGGTTCTGGGAGAGGCGTAACCATTTTGCATTTTCAAATTTGTGTTATATTTTTTTAAAAACCCATATTCCCACCCCCACCACCATCACCACAAATGCCATCAACACTACTATAACTACCATCAGAATCAAACCTTGTGAATCTATGGAAGTACTGAGGAAATTTCTCAATAATTGTATAAGCCTTTATCTCTCTCTCTCTCTCTCACAATTTTTTTGACACATCATTTGGAACTAAAATCCTACTATATTTGTTGTGGGCTTTTAGTTTTGTAAATACCAATAACTGAGTTATACAAAGTTTAAAGAGGACAGTGGAAACATTTTAAATAATAGAATTGGTGGAGAAATAGAAAGTAGAATGACTTTCAAAAGTGGTAATTCCTTCTTTTCATTCATTCAATACATTTTATGAAAGTCCTGCTGCGCATCACTCATTCTTTTTTAGGAGCTTAAAATATGGTGCATTTGTGCTACCTAGTAAAGTATGACTTTAAAATGTTATATTCCCTTTTAATTTATAAAACTCACTAGGTATTTATTTATTTAGTTTTAGACGGAGTCTTGCTGTGTCACCCACCCTGGAGTGCAGTGGCGTGACCTCAGCTCACTGCAACCTCTGCCTCCCAGGTTCAAGAGGTTCTCCTGCCTGAGCCCCCTGAGTAGCCGGGACTACAGGTGCATGCCACCACATCTGGGTAATTTTTGTATTTTTAGCAGAGATGGTATTTCACCATGTTGGGAAGGCTGGTCTTGAACTCCTGACTTCAAATGATCCACCTGCCTTAGCCTCCCAAAGTGCTGGGATTAAAAGCATCCACCTCTGTACCCAGTGAAAATTCACAAGGTCTTTAGATTAAGCCTTTGGAATCTAAGAGGATTTTCGTTGGTTGTTGTTTTGATTGTTTAAAAAAATCTGCTTCAAATTGCTTGTATCAGGAAACAAATAAAGCTTTTGCTTCAACTCTGACAAACACAACCTCTTCCGAAAAATTTACTAACGGTTTCTATTTAGACTCCTATATCTATATCTGGGGTGTTTTGTGCTTTTTCTTTCTTTCTTTTTTATTTATTTATTTATTTATTTATTTTTGGGAGATGCAGGGTCTCACTTTGTCGCCCAGGCTGGTCTTGAACTCTGGTAGTCTCCTATATCTTTATGATCATCATTGAATGAGCCAGCAATCACCTATTATTAGATTACTATACTTTGCTAGGTGCCATAGATACAGCATTAGGTAGGTAAAACAGAAGTATACTTGCCTGGGTGAATAAAGCTGTTCTTAATCTAGCCTCTTAAAAATGGTAGGCAGTTGGTAGCACTTGCAAAATGATTAATGGTGAAGGAGAATCGCTAAAAAATATCACAGACCAGCCCTGGGAAATTTTGCTAAGGTTGGCATGCTAAAATGTATCTAAGATTATTATCACTACACAGTAACTCCATCAGAGTAGCACAGTAGTAATTTCTGGACACAGATTAATTACTGGGCATCTTGAGATCTGTCTGATCTCTGACTCTACAGTATCAAATGCCAACTTTGCAAGTTGTGCTTACCTTACCGAATATAATTGATCCTAAAGTCCATACAGTAGAATCAGAGAAGGGCCTGAGGCCTTTGTAATAAAAAAAAAATCCCTTATTAAGTAAGCCTTATAGAAAGTGTGTAGAAGACTCATGATAGTCCTGGAATAAAGCTATAAATAATTTTGAATGTTTATCATAAAAAAGTAGCATCAGACCAGGTGCAGTGGCTCATGCCTGTAATCTCAGCACTTTTGGATGCCAAGGCAGGAGAATTGCTTGAAGCCAGAAGTTCAAGACCCTCCTGGGAAATATAATGAGACCTTGTCCCTACTTATAAAAAGATAAAGAGTTGCATCAATCAGAATAATCCCTAAATTGGACTTATCCAATGTCACTATTAGATGGGAGCTTAATTCCTAGAAAGACTCCTTTTCTTACAAACTGAGCATCAGAGGCCCAGATAATAGGTTAAGAAACTTGTTCACAGTGTTTAATTAGTTAAGAGGAGATTCAGTGCTATTTTTCTGAGTTATGAAATTATCCAATGTATTCTCTTGGGAAACAGGAAAAGACCATAAAAATGGAAAGCAGCAGTAGAGTTTTTCTCTGAGCAAAATGGAATACCCTTTCAATGACCACAATAGAGAGGGTTGAAACAGAAGCAAATTTAGACCAAAAGCCCTCCTGAGTTGAGTAGGTGACTTTTCAGCGACTGTTTACTTGCAGAGTAACTTCCAGTCCCTGCCTGTTTTTGTTTTGTTTTGTTACTGTTGCCATTAGTCTCTTTTTCTCAGCATGTCCCAGGAAAACCGGAGACCTCTAGGGCCAAGTTCTTCCTGTTTCCCTCACTGGCTGAGGCCTAATTTGCAGTCTTCTATTGTCCATCTCCAGCTATTATAATAAAACCCTCCAGGAGCTGCCATTGCCCTATCTCAGTGTTAGAGCACTGACCAGCTTGCTTTTGCCTGAAGAATGACTCTTAGGTGATGACAAATTTAAGCATGCTTAAGATCCTTCCAGATTGCTGCAGTGCTTTTCCCTGCTGTTTAGGTTCATGTTTATGACATTTAATATGCTTTTATCATGCTGAAAGGAACCCAAGCTACTAAACTTGGAAAATAACCAAATCGCAGCATCACAAAAAAGACTACATCAATAGTTTTCATTTCTGACACAGTATCCGAAAACTCTGATTAGAAAGGCTTCCAAATAAAATAATCACTTCTTTGTGTTCTTGCCTTTAGTACCAAATATAAGAAGTCACTAAATTTGTTTTTAAAATGGTTTTCAGTGAAATGGAGGTTAATGCTATGAAAAATATCAGTGTAAAAGTCCCAGTATCTGCCACAAATCACCAACCATCATCACGGACTCTGAAAAAGAAAATGATGGTTTTATACACAGTGATACTTATGTAACATCCTTCTTTTTTCCAGGATAAAACATCCAAGTGAGCATGCTCTCTGTTTCCCAAAAGTCTAGCTTATTTTCTACTCTACTGAACTTTCTGGACTTCTCCTTAATCAGTCAACTTAGATGAAATAGTAGAGAGCATGATAAAATTATCTAGAACACTCATGTAAGAAGTTTCTTTAAAAAAAACAAATAATTGCAACAAAATATGTCAAGAGAGTATTGTAACCATGGTTCTCAGAGTTTCAACGTAAAGAATAGCTGTTTCACATTTTTATTCCTTTAATGTTCATGGCCAGAGATACAGCAAATTTTGACACATATTCAGCAAAACATTTAAAATTGTGTTTTAAGTGCTGAATTAGGAGCATGCATAGCAGTGTGTGTGTATATAAATATACAAAATGTGTGTGAGAGAGTAATTGGTCATCTTCTCTTTCAAATAGATGAAAAAATTTAACCTCTAGTAGAAAATGATTTTTTAATTTATCAAACAAAAGAGTTTTAAGAGTTGGTAAAGCGCCTTCTTGCATCAGGACCTCTGCGCTCACAGGTGCTTCTGTCTGGTCTGTTGTAAACTGCAAACACCTTCATGGTTCATTCCCTTATGACCTTCAGATCCCTATTTTAATACTGTCTCTCCAGAGAGCACTTCCCTGATTACCCTTATGAGAATGGATACCACCTCCATTCTTTGGGATCCTATTATGCCTCCTGATTTATTTTTCTCCTAGCATTTGTCACTATTTAATATACCATATGTTTTGCTAAGCTACTTATAAATTTGTCTGTCTTCCTACACTAAAATGTAATTTTCACGGCAGGAATTTCATTTATTTTGTTTACTTAAAAATATCAACAGCATCTCAAACAGTGTCTGACATCTAATAGATGCTCAATAAATATTTAATAGATGAACTATATACACTATATTCAAGATACAGAGCACCCTCTTTTGCATAATGATTACTAGAAAATTTATTTTAGCTTCCTATGTGGTGTATCATGGCTTGTTCAGATGTTAAATGGAACAACAGTAGTTTTCCAGTTGATTTACTTTTTGTTTATGAAATGTTAAAGTACTCATTTAACATGATAAATTGCCTCTTGCAGACATCCATCATCATTAATATGTTGGGCGTGTGTGTGTCTCTGTGTGTATGTGTGTGTGTGTGTGTGTATGAGAGAGAGAGAGGGAGAAGGAGAGAGAGAGAGAGAGAGAGAAAGATTCATGTCTTGATTCATAAAAATCTGTTTCTGTGTTTTTAACAAAAGCTATTAGTACCTACCAGTATAATATGTTTGTATTATTAACATGAAGGTGTTGGCCACAAACCATTTTTCTTTGGGAATCTTGGAATGAATTCAATGAACAGAAAAAGCAGGACTAACCTGATCTTCATTCTCACTGGCAGCATCTGGGATGAAAATATAGAAACCAAAGTTAAGGAAATGTACAATATTTAATAAACAAAACAATTCATTTAATGTAGTGTCCTGATTGCTTTAATGACAATATGTTGTAAAACCACAAATTGTTTTTGAACACATTAAGATTTACCATGGCAAATAAAAGAAGGGCGCTGGACCAGGAGATTAGTATATATACTCACAAAGGTCTAATCACTCAGAAAGTTACAATTACTTTGGAAAATAATATTTATGTGAATTCTAACCCCACCAAAATCACTCATCTTCAAAAGGTCCTTTTGGAGCAATAAATGGCAGCCTCCCTTTTAAAATTACAACATAACATACATGCAAAATACTATACCAATTATAATATAATTTTGAAACTATATTATAGTTTTAGTTGAAACTATAATATAGCATTACATTTATAGGATATATAAATACAATTTAATTTTCTGAATTCTGGCAGCTCTACCTCCTTATTACAGCTACAAAAGTTAGAGATCTGACAGAAGGTAAGATTAAGATCACAGGCTATTATACTCTGTCATTAACATAGGCTCTTTTGTACCTACATACCTATTTTAGGAAAGTGGGCATTATTTGTATATGATTTAAGACTATCTCTGAGTTTCTCTTTTTTAAAATTTTAATGTTTCAGAGCAACATAAGTCTAGGAAATTTGTGTTCTCCTAGGGTTAAATAGCAAATATAAAAATCTACCCTCCACCTCCCACAAAAGTCCCTCACTCTTTGGAATAAATGCTTTCAACCCATTTAGCACTTGAAAACACAAGACTAAAATAAGCTAGAAGACTCTACTGCTTTAAAATAAGAACAGATGATTGAATTTTTAAAAATATTTCATTTATGCCTATAACATTAAAATACATATATTATTTACAATTAAGTTTTAAATGTCTGTTATGTAGATAAGTATATGTACTATGAATTGATACATTTAGTAAGAGGAAGATGAAGAAGAATCTATTCAGTTTTCAGAATTAAAGAATTAATGGAAGAATTTCTCATGGTTAAAAAATTCAGATTATCTCAAACTACTTGCCATTTCTAAAGATAACAACCTAATTATAAAGCCACATACATAAATCTTCAGAACTCTGTGTCTGGCAAGATATTTCAGGATTATATATACATACATAAACGTTTTTTGGCAGGAGTAGGGGGAGAAAAGTCCCTTCCCCAGGGCTTTGAGTTGTGTGGCAAGAAGCTTAGATTACACACAAATTGCTCACCTTGTATGAGGCAAAGAGCCAAGGGCAGAAGCACTGACACTGTGGCTATCTTCATGTTGAAGATGATGCAAGTCGCCTACAGGTCCACTCCATGCATTGCTCAGCTGGTGCAGTATGACTGAACTCGGGGAGATGCAGTTTACTTTTATAAAGCACTGGTGACACCCACATAAAACCAGTTGTTCAAGGTCATGGGACTCATACACCACACCACTTTAGCTTCTATCCTTTAGGATCCCGACAGGGTGTCAGGCTTGAACAGAGAATATCTGTCTCTAAAGTAGTAATGTGCTTTCATGGCACCTCCCCCAGAATGCAATGGATTGAGTCCACAGACCCTACTCAAAGTTGAATATTCTATAATTCTATATAAGAACTGAATTCCCCAGAAATACCAGATATACTACCTTGTAGATAAACATATTTTTGACTGGACTCCCTTCATAAGTGGGAGGAGAGAGGAAAGGAAGACAGATTGTCCTACCAGACAGGTATAGATTTAAAGATTTCCACATCTAGAGAAACCCAGGGTTCCTGTGCCTTTCATTTGTAGGTGTTCTGAAGCGTCTGAGTTCAGCGTCACAGACTCATATATATGTTAGAGTTGAACGACCCTAAAAGATAACCTAGCAAAGTTCTAATGTTGAATATATGGGGAGGCAGGAACTCAGAGGAGCAATGGCTTTCTCATAAGCAGACAGTTTAGTTGGAGCAGGCAGAGGAGGCATCCAGCACTTTCAAGCAGACCACACATACAGCATTCTTTCCTCTCTGTACACTGCTTCACCCTTAGACATTAGAAAAGGCAGAAACGTTGGAAAAATAAAATTTGTATGTAACTACTTTTAAAACTTCTCAATCTGCAGGATGTTTTATATTATGGAGCCTTATTTTATATTCCAGCCAAACATCATAAAACATTGGAGACTCAGTTTAACTTTCCATAGCCCGTGATTACCATGATTACCCATATTACTGTTTGAAAAATTTGGCTCAGTTTTCTCTAAATTAGATTTCTTCCTGTATCATCCCATTATTTAGTCTCCCAAAAAGAAAAGAAGAAAAAAGTTGTTAACAATTATAAATATGTAAATGTGATATTTTTCTAGAGAAAGTTTCTTCTCCTTAGTTCCTTCTTTCATCCTACAAGTAATACCTTTATTTCTACCAGCTTATTTTGCCCTAATAGCTTAAGAAAGCACCTGAAGAAACATGTGAAGATGACTGAAACCGGAGCAAAATTGTTTCATTCCAGTATTTCTCAGGGTCTTCACATCCATAGAAGAAAAGTTCAAGATTTTATCCAATTAAAGGCCTTTTTATGATGGTTCCAGAAAGCTGATCAAGGTTGCCCAGCTTAGGGAGTATGCCAATATTATGAGATTTATCACAGTGAGGTATGTCCTTTCCTTTTTCTCTCATGAAATTATTTCCTATAAAAATATAATCATTGGGCCAGGCACAGTGGATCACACCTGTAATCCCAGCACTTTGGGAGGCAGAGGCGGGTGCATCACGAGGTCAGGAGATTGAGACCATCCTGCCCAAGATGGTGAAACCCCGTCTCTATTAAAATACAAAATACAAAAATTAGATGAGCTTGGTGGTGCACACCTGTAGTCCTAGCTACTCTGGAGGCTGAGGCAGGAGAATCACTTGAACCCGGGAGGCGGAGGGTGCATGAGTCGAGATCGCGCCACTGCACTCCAGCCTGGGTGACAGAGCGAAACTCTCCCCATCTTAAAAAAAATGAAATATGTAAATACACACACACACACACACACACACATATAATCGTTGGTTTCAAGGTCTGCACTATTGTTGTAGCTTGGCTCCTTTCCAATGGAATAGTAAAATTACTGAACATGCAGAGCGAGTTCAAATTCCATGACTGTTACAGGTTAGAAAATCAAAGTCCATCATAGCTTAATGGAAAGAGAATGAGACAGTGTTTCAGAAATCTGTTTCTATTCTATGTAGTCTTTTCAACTATGTAGGGATAGAAATGAACCCAGCTTTGAAGCAAGGTAGATCTGGGTCCAAATCTTGACTTGTTAGCCATGTTGCCTTGGACAAGTCACTTGTTTTCTCTAAGTCTCATTTTCCTAATATGTAAAATAAAAATAATAACACCTATATTGTACTAGTGTTAAGAGGATTAGAGATAAATCATATATATAATGCATGTGTGTGTGTGAGAGAGAGAGAGAGAGAGGTGCTTAGAACAAATATCGAGTTTATGTGATAAACTTGATAGTTAATGATAGCTGGTCTTGCATTTTTACATAATTATAATAATGTGATTGTACTAGATAATTTCTAAGATACCAAGAAAAGTCAACATCTGTTGATGGTGGATTTCGCCCATAGATTTACGTTTACTCAGCGTAGAATAATTCCCCAAACACATTTTGAGGTGAAATTAAACTACAAAGATATATGTTCACTTTTTCCCTTTTAATTGTATTTTAAACCATAATGCCTAAACAAATCAAAACATTACCTGTTAAAACTTACCAAAACCATTGCTCTGTTTCAACCAGCATTGATTTTTTTGTCTCTTTCTCTAAAAGCCTCTTCTAAATATTAACATATCAGTACTAATTTTTTATCTTTCATCTGCCCTGTCAGACCATACGAAATGTGTCCCAACCATATATTCTGTTATTGATGGTAAAACAGTTTGATGCGTTAAAATGGAATCAATGACTGTGTATTATGCTCTACTGATCCCTAGTCTAGCCCAAATGGAGAATATTCCCAGGAGTGGAAGTGGTACTAGGGTGGAACAGAAGAACCAAAAGATGATTGCCTGTCTTAGGAATCTCTACTATGAGGAAACATTGAAGACATTGATTTCCTTCTTACTGGAAAAGAGCTCCTCAGTGATGCCAACCCTTTCTGAAATGACGAATAAAAAGTTTGAAACTGATACATTTTCCAAATGGAGAAAGTAGTAAAAAGAAGATTCAGTGAGCACCCCCAAAATTGGAAGTACCCATCAGCTGGTTCATTTCATTAGGGCTTTTCCTCCGTTTCATTTTAGGAATGTTGTAAATCCAGAGGTGATTCATCACATGCTTTGTTAATCACTCCTCATTCCTGAAAATCACCATGAATATTAAATTTAAATGAATGAGATTGAAGTTTTGGAGAACTCGGGTTTGGGTCAGAGTTAGGTTATCAGGGTATTCTTCTAACTCAAAATATCATCCTTGTTTTTAACTCTTTCAATTATTCATCAAACATGTAGAAACTTTCTTCCTCTCATTAGAAAGGAGTGGGCTTAGATAATAAAAACTATGAACTTTACAATCTTACACATTTATAAGTTTGGCCAGAATCTGAAGAATACTGATATGGGGGGAGGAAATGAGAAAATTATAAAAATTGTTGTAGATCAGTAATGTTACTACAAACAAAGGTTATTTCCAAAACATAAAGTTACTACATCATTCTTAAAGTCTTCTCTTTTTCTATACAGAGGGATCCTTGATGATCATAATAGTTAATAAATAACTATACTCTTTTATGATTAGATCACCTTCCACAGCTTTCAAAACAACCTGCCATTCATTAGCTCTTTTGATTTGTTTATGCAGCGTTGTGAGGCAGCCAGTTAGGTGTTATTATCTTTTCTTTACCTGCCAAAATTGGTGTCACAAAAGAAACCTGCAGTAGGAGCTAGCTGGGATGGTCATCTCAGCCTTGACACTGTCTCACTTTTTATAACTTTAATTTCTCTGAGTTTCCCCATGGCCATCTCACAGACTTTTATAGAGTTCAAAGAGAATCCAGACATTATAGTGCTTTAACTAGATACAGCCCTGTGTATGCACACACACAAACACACACACACAATCACTTGGGCAGAAAGAGGTATGTCGTGACCATGAGTAGAATTTATATATTCTAATATACCTTAAAAGATGAAATAATTTCTTTTCTATCTTGTTTATTTTTAAACTTTCTTTTCTATAATTCTAACATTTTCCCCCATCAATTTAACATGTCTATATTCTCCTTTGTAAAAGACACTAACTGGAAAACAGCCTTTACTCACCTTCTTGTCTGGTAATGTTCCATTGTCAACTAACTTCACTCCCTCTGTGGGAATTCCTTTCTGTTTGTCTGGAGAGACTAAGAAACTCTAGAGATAAGCATCTCATTTTATCTAATAATAGAATGGGATGGGCATTGTTTGTTTACTAAGTATATAGACCCTGCTATTTATAGACATAATTATTGCTTTTATTAGATTAGGATTAAGAAGACAGGAGTTTCAATGTTTAATTTTTAATTGTATTAAGATTTTCATATGGTTTATATTTTATTTTAGAAACAACAATCAGCTTCTCCCTACAGTTGATATTAATTGAACCCCCGACCCATGGCCCCACACTGTTTATCACTTAGAAATTTAGTGCATTTTAAAGTCTCCTAGGATTTATCCTGACAATAGAAAACAGGTTTGAGGAACTACAGTCTTTCAATAAATCATAACGAATTAATTCTGAAGTAGCAAAGAGTCTACCTAATTTTAGCAAAAAAGCATTGCAAATTTTATATGTGTAATGTGTGTGTGTGTTTGTGTGTATGTGTTTACAGTAAGCACAGTAAGCAAGAATGAAACTGTTAGATTTATAAGCAAAGTTAGAAAAAGATAATCTATCTTTATAAAAGAATTTGCAGGCCGGGCGCGGTGGCTCACGCCTGTAATCCCAGCACTTTGGGAGGCTGAGGCAGGCAGATCACAAGGTCAGGAGATCAAGACCATCCTGTCTAACATGGTGAAACTCCATCTGTACTAAAAAAAAAAAACTCGTCTCTACTAAAAATAATAAAATTAGCCAGGCGTTGTGGCAGCCACCTGTAGTCCCAGCTACTCGGGAGGCTGAGGCAGGAGAATGGCTTGAATCTGGGAGGAAGAGCTTGCAGTGAGCCAAGATCACACCACTGTACTCCAGCCTGGGTGACAGAGAAAGACTCCATCTCAGAAAAAAAAAAAAAGTAAAGAAATAAAATTTGCTAACAATTTTCATGCAGTTAGGTACAGCAATAAATATAAAGATTAAGTATCATTTTATTCTTACAGGTAAAGAAATTGAGGTTTGATGAGATTCTATAACTTTTCCAAGGTCATACAGCTTGTAAGCAGTGATCTTGCAAATGATGACAGTCAATGTAATAAAGGCATTCAAACTCCAGAGCCCAGCCTCTTAAACACTACACACTGTAGTAACCACATTACCTACAACTGTAACTAATGTATCTCAGGTACTCAGCGTTAAGAGTTAAACTCTGTCAGCCCAAAATTTATATGCTGAAGCCTTAAATGCCACTACCTCAGGATGTGCCTATATTTGGAGATAAGTAAAAGTGGTGGTGAAGTTAAAATGAGCTTATAAGGTTACGCCTTAGACCAAACTGATTGATGTCCTTACTAGAAGAGGAAATTTGGACACACAAAAAAGACACTAGTGATGCACACACACAGGAAATACCACATGAAGACACAGTGGGAAGTTGTCCATTATAAACCAAGAAGGAAGCTTCAGAGAAAACCCAACTTGCTGTCACTTTGATCTTGAAATTCTAGTCTCCAGAAATGTGAAAACGTAATAAATTTATGTTGTTTAAGTCACCCAGTCTGTGATATTTTGTGATGGCAGCCCTAGCAAACAATACACTCACCATATGTATTGACCCACTCACATGCAAACTGTGTAAAAATGTATAGACACAGTTATATGGTTGAGAATGCAGTCTTATGTAGGCTCCTTTCTCTTTAAGTAACCATTACATTAAACTTATGATCCTGTAGAATAGTGTCAAAGAGAAACAGAGCTGAAAATGTATTAAAACTGGCAAGACCCACTTTATCTGGGCTATTCCAATAGAGAAAAGAAACTCCAGTATAAACCAAGCTCAGTTCTGCTAAAACCAAAGGCAAGATGTTTTTTTAATGCTAAGGTGTGCTGTATTCATTCATTTTCATGCTGCTGATAAAGACATACCAGAGACTGGGCAGTTTACAAAAGAAAGAGGTTTATTGGACTTATAGTTCCACATGGCTGGGGGAGCCTCACAATCGTGGTGGAAGGCAAGGAGGAGCAAGTCACATCTTATGCGGATGGCAGCAGGCAAAGAGAGATTGTGCAGAGAAACTCTCATTTTTGAAACAATCAGATCTCATGAGACTCATTCACTATCATAAGAACATCACAGAAAAGACCCGCCTCCATGAATCAATCATCTCTCAACAGGTCTCTCACAACACATGAGAATTATGGGAACTACAAGATGAGATTTGTGTCAGAACACAGAGCCAAACTACATCACTCCACCCTGGCCCCTCCCAAATCTGGTATCTTCACATTTCAAACCCGATCATGCCTTCCCAACAGTGCCTCAAAGGCTCAACTCATTTCAGCATTAACTCAAAAGTCCACGCCTTGAGACAAGCCAAGTCCCTTCCACCTATGATCCTGTAAAATCAAAAGCAACTTAGTTACTTTCTAGATACAATGGGGGTACAGACATTGGGTCAATACAACTGTTCCAAATGGGAGATATTGGCCAAAATAAAGGGGCTACAGATCACATGCAAGTCCAAAATTCAGTAGGGCAGTCAAATCTTAAAGCTCCAAAATGATATTCTTTGAATCTATGTCTCATATCAGATCATGCTGATGCAAGAGGTGGGTTTCCATGGTCTTGGACAACTCTACCTCTGTGGCTTTGCAGGGTACAGCCTCCCTCCGAGCTGCCTTCACAGGCTGGCATCGAGTGTTTGTGGCTTTCCCAGGCATACGGTGCAAGCTACCTATGGATCTGCTATTCTGGGGTCTGGAGAACGGTGGCTCTCCTCTAACAGCTCCACCAGGTGGTGCCCCAGTGGGGACTCTGCGTGGGGGCTCCCACTCCACATTTCTCTTCTGTACTGCCCTAGCAGAGGTTCTCCATGAGGACCTTGCCCCTACAGCAAACTTCTGCATGGGTATCCAGGCATTTCCATACATCTTCTGAAATTTAGGCAGAGGTTTTCAAACCTCAGTTCTTGACTTCTGTGCACTCACAGGCTCAGCACCACATGGAAGCTGTCAAGGCTTGAGGCTTGCACCCTTGGAAGCCATAGCCTAAGCTATCGTCCCTTTCAGCCACTGCAGTGGCTGCAATGCAGGGCACCAAGTCCCTAGACTGCATGCAGCACAGAGACCCTAAGTCTGGCCTAGAGAACAGTTTTTCATCTTAAACCTCTGGGCCTGTAATGGGAGGGGCTGCCACAAAAGCCTCTGATATGCCTTGGAGACATTTTCCCATTGTCTTGGGGATTAACATCAGGCTCCTTGTTACTTATGCAAATTTCTGCAACTGACTTGAATTTCTTCTCATAAAATGGATTTTCTTTTTTTTTAATCACATAGCCAGGTTGCAGATTTTCCAAACTTTTATGTTCTGCTTCCCTTAAAAAGTTGAATGCCTTTAAGAGCACCCAAGTTATTTCTTGAATGCTCTGCTGCTTAGAAATTTCTTCTGCCAGACACCCTAAATCATCTCTCTGAAGTTTAAAGTTCCACGAATCTCTAAGGTAGGGGCAAAATGCCACCAGTCTCTTTGTTAAAACATAACAAGAGTCATCTTTGCTCCAGTTCCCAACAAGTTCCTCATCTCCATCTGAGAGCACCTCAGCCTGAACCTTATCATTCACATCACTATCAGCATTTTTGTCAAGGCCATTCAACTAGTCTCTAGGGAATTCCAAACTTTCCCACATTTTCCTATCTTCTTCTGGGCCATCCAAACTGTTCCAACCTCTGCCTGTTACCAAGTTCTAAAGTTGCTTCCACAGGTTTGGATATCTTTTCAGAAACACCCCACTCCTGGTACCAATTTACTGTATTAGTCCATTTTCATGCTGCTGATAAAGACATACCCAAGACTGGGCAATTTAGAAAAGAAAGATGTTTATTGGATTTACAGTTCCACATGACTAGGGAGGTTTCACAATCATGGCAGAAGGCAAGAAGGAGCAAGTCACATCATGCTCCGTGGATGGCAACAGGCAAAGAGAGCTTGTGCAGGGAAATTCCCACTTCTATAACCATCAGATCTTGTGAGACCTATTCACTATCACAAGAACAACACTGGAAAGACTCGCCCCCATGATTCAGTCATCTCCCACTGGGTCCCTCCCACAATACATGGGAATTATGGGAGCTACAACATGAGATGTGGTGGGGACACAGACCCAAACCATATCATGTGCTAAAGGAAAAGTACCAAAAGGGTGGCAGGGGAGGTTGGTCATTGTGGTTAGGCCACTTGTGTTTGCTAATTTACAATTGCAAGTTTTCTAAAGTAAATGCTCTAAGAAATGGGAGGTCATGGGTCTACAGTCAGGTAAACAGTAAATTATTTAAGTAGCATTGAGCTTTTCAGACAGGAACTTAAGCAGGGTCTGGATCATCAAGAACATGTTCTTGAGGTATTATAAATGGTGGTAACATTTGTTCAAGCCTCTCAGTACAAAAGCGGGTAGACAACATCATATGGGTTAAGAATTTGCAGTTCTCACAGGCCAAGGTTAAGGCCTAGTCAAAAAGAAGGTTCAGAGGAATCTGATTAAGTTTGGTGAAAGAAATGATCTTTGCCATTAGATAAAGTAGAAAACCAACTGGTTAACAACCTTTCAGGTTGGAGTTTACATATTGCGTTTGTTATCACTCAGCTGGCTCCTTTGTATAGATTTTATCTTTTCTACTCTCAAAGGCTTTAATGCACACATTTTGATGTCCTTCAACAATGTGTGTAACAGAGCTAGACAGACTTCTTGACTTCTCTTGCTTTAACCCAAATACCATCCACCAAAAATGTTTACTTGATAATGTTTCCCACTTCTAAAGCATTCACATACTGCTTCTTTGTTTTGTAGGATGATCTTTTCCTTCTTTACTTGTGTATCTTTGTTTGTAGGATTCAGCTTAGACTGTGTGTTCCCAGGGGCTCCCTTCCTGATCCTTCGTAGAGTGTTCTTACTGCCCCTCTGTACCCGGTGCCATTACCACTTCCATACCTTGCACTCATG